ATGGAGAAAATCCACCACATTGTGGGATACATCTTTCAATTTTTTGCTATAATTATTGATAGATGCATTATTTATGATTAATTTATAGCTAACTTGGTAGCAAAAACTTCTAATTGTTGCTCAGTATAGGTATTATTTTTGCCAGTGATTGGATCATAAAATATGCGTCCTAATTCAGAAGATTTTGAAATTTCAATGAAAACAGTCAAGTACCCTACAAAAATGTAGAATTTTCTTCATGAGAGAACAATGTGACTTACCTTCGCTTGTGTAAGTCACTCTTTTACTAGAAGAACTATTAGGAGGGACAATTTTCAAATAAGTCAAACTTTTTTTAAACTCTTTCCATGTACAAGGTGCTATTAATGGAGATATCCGCCTAAAAAATATATACCACTATATACAATATTGCTATGATAGTTACATTTTGTCCTCAGAGACAGTTTCACAAACTTGAATATCTAGTATTTTGCTAAATGAGAAAGCAATGAGAAGATGCTGCATATGATCATCAGGAATTAAATTTCCTTCGTCAACAGAAACTGAACACTCAGGTAATGCTTCATTTCCTAAAATATTAAAAAATATATAATTGTAACAATAGCAATAGTTATTTTTAAAAGTCAACATACTTTCAAGTTTAGCAAGTGCAGCACCTTTCTCATAAGATGACTCATTTTTTAAGACCATAACAGGTTCAATTATTTTGTGTGCAGTAATTGGACACCTGAGACGGATGACTTTAAATGACAAATGATCATTGCTACTAGTTGTCTAAAATATAATTAAGAGTTCATAATAGAATAATTAAGACAAATTACTCTGAACCTTAGAAAGTTTTATTATCAATCCAAAAATATAATCCAAGAATTCAAATGTCTTTTCAATAGTTACTAAAATGAAAATAATAAAATAATACATTACTATTACTATAATACAACAGCACTATATTATTTTACTGAATACTAATGCTGAAGAGGTTGAGACATACACGCTCTTTCCAAAGATAGAAATGTTAATGTAGCTTACCATTGCAGAAATACTTCAAAAGTGCCTTTGACAAATGATAAAATCCTTCAAACAAAATGGCCTAAAATAAATCACAATCAACCAATATCAAAAATGCTTATCCTCACAATTTGTGACAAATGCGAAAAAGAATGATAAATCAAAAAAGTATGAAGAGCTGCAACAAGAGGAACACAGCCTGTCAGCTTGAAAACAATTGCCACAATACTAGATCTAGTGATATCAGAACCAATTGTCTAAATAAAATAATAGTTAAACTAGATTCATAATCATACTTACCAGGTATTTCAAAATAGAGTAAAACTTTGCCAAACCTTTTTCAGTTTGCTCAGTCACAGGAATATAGCTTGACTTTCCAAATTCAATTCTAGCAGAGTAAATTTCTCCCAGACGTAAAATGAGCTCTTGACCATCAACAATTTGTGATAAATCCTCATCCTTCATTGCAACCATATTTCCTAAACTGCACAAAAGTATGTGCATTAATACATATAATAATCTAAGTAATAAAAACCTGCTATATATCTTTAAATATCGTGATGGTACATTTATTACTCTTGAAGCCTTTTGAAGGATCACTTCAACTGTGAGATTTGGAAAATTCACTTGAATGGAGAAGTGTCCAAAGACCTCACTCAAAATTTTAAGGGTATTTTGACCTATCATAGTAAAGCCATTGCATGGTTCATGCTACAAAAAGAGCTAGTACCTTGCATAGGGTCTATACCAATATCATTAAGTGGCTCAGGTAAGATCCAGGATGGCTGCTCTCTCCTTCGAGGGAGTACATAAAAAGAGTCATCATTCTTTATCTTCCATTTCTCTAGTGTGACTAACAAAAATATCCAATAATTCATCTATACATACATTATAGCTTACATGACAGAGTGTATTCATTGACATTTAAGGGAGTTCCATTCTTTTGATACAGTTCCAATGTCAGAACATCAGGCAAATTATGTATGCTACAAATCTGTTTTATAAGGAAATCCATTGTGTCTCGTTCAGGCTCTAAAGCCAGACTATGCTCTTCCTGGTTAACAACGAACATCTCAATGCATAAAACATAGTTGATTTTGAATCGTGCAGTTTTTAGTAAAGGTGAGAATGGTCTAGATGATTTGTAGTCCAACTTTAGCGATTCAGTAAGCCCAGGAACTGCTGACTGCAATGTGGTACCAGGAGCTGCTGACTGCAATGTGGTAGGCTTAGAGTCACAAAGCAGTTTTCTACTTTGTATTTTGTTGAGACCTACAAAATTCCCATCTCAAATTTTTATATGAAAGCTGCATTACTATTATTATGATACACAAAGCTAACAAGTGCATGGTGTGCCTAACAAGCATGCCAGAGAAATATACTAGTGCTTACCAGCCTGTCTCAACTCCTGTTCTGTTAGTAAAGAAATGTCTGACACTTTTTCAACTCCATATTCAACTACTAATTTCTCATGTAGAGGGCTATGAGGACTCAGTACAATGCCATGCTGATGAAAGAACTCTTTTAATTCATCTGACATTCTTATTGGTTAAACCTACACAAATATGAAAGCATAACTAAGCCAAAAAGATGCATGAATATTATTATTAAAATAGGGTGTTTTCCCTGGGACTAGCCCAATTCATTGATTATGTTTTTATACTGTTACATGTACAATAATAGTATTGTCAAGTACTGGAAAGTGAAAAAGTAGGCCTATATCACTGCATATAGGACTGAACAAATATTCTTGAAGTGGTGATAAATCAGCCCATATGAGCCACTCATATTACAGCCAGACAAATCTATTATTGTGGCCAGTCCAAAATAAGGACGCCTCAGGATATATAGTAGCAGTTCCAATACATTGGATTTAATGAACTTCTAACTCTTAAAATGGTCCCCCTAGTCCCCCAAGGTGTTGGACCATTGGTTGCTTCCCTTTTGGGGTGGTATTAGTAAAACTAGTAGAAATGAAAGAAACCAGAAACAGAAAGAAATGCCAAAACAGCAATCTCCCAATGTAATTTTATTTCTGTTAGGAGTCCCCTAGTTATTTTAGGAGTCCCTCAGATCATTGGGTTTAGGGTTTTTCTTATTTTAGAGCATCCCCTAGTTACGTTGGAAGTCTTGTACTCATGTTGGAAGTCCCCTAGTCATGTTAGCAGTCTTCTAACTATGTTAGGAGTCTCCTATTATGTTAATAGTCCCCTAGTTATTGTTTCTATTCTGGTTTCTTTCCGTTTCTGGTTTGGTACTTTTACTACTAGTACTACCCCTTTATTTTGCATGTTATAAACAATTACAATAGATCTAGTTGTAATTTAAAAGTATTCGAGATGTAATAAAAATAGTCTTACTTTAGCAATAATTAGTTAGTGAAGAAACATAGAAAGCAGCATATGAGATTGAGATTACCTGGCCGGCTGATCTATAGTCAGTCTCGCGGGGCCAAACTCAATTTTTAGACTCAAAAATTGAGTCTACCCTCCCCCGAGAGCATAGTAGAAATATGTGGGTGTGGTCATAATTACTTTATTATCTCATAGATATTAGATAATAAAACTATGATTATCTCATGATTATCTATGCAATTACCATAGATAGTCTAATAGAGTAAAATGAATTAGATATTATAGTAATTAATAGATATTAGAGTAATTCATTTAGTCTAATATCTATGGCAATTATAATTTTTGTGATTTTATTGATTGACTTTCTTTCTATGCGCATCAACTGCACCACACTACAAATAATTATTATGCACAGTACACTATACATGTACACATTAAAACTGTTATTTTGAGAGAATGGTAAACTATTTTGTGAAGTACATGTATTGAAAGAAATCCTGCACAGTGATTATATTACAGGTGTGGGCTTGATTTTTAGCTGTGGGCAGTGGGTGTGGTGTATCCAGAGAAACACACCACAAATCAACAAGATGTCTCTCTTCACTTTACCATGTCTTTATCTTAATCTTGGAGGAGAAATGATCATCATACTGCAGCAAAGACTAGAGGCTCAAGCTGTACCAGGAGAAAAACAAAGAAAAGGTTGTTCAACAAAATAAAAAGCAGTCGTTGTATTTTTTTCTCTTGCAGTACTCAAGGACATCATAAATCACTTTCTCCACGACTCTGTCCTTTCTACTCTCTTCACTCCTCAGCCTCTGATGAGCAAGAAACGGCTCAAGACAACATTCACAAAGCTAGCTCATGGCTCCATAATGAAACTTAGTCCAGATGCCATGGACAAAGTAATGCATTTTTTAATAATACTAGATAATTCCAATAAAAGAATCCAGTAGATCTACTTTATCTTTGCACATTTGCATCAACTCTACCCAAATCTGCACATATCAGTAGAGCCTGCATGTAATTCAACTTTCCTTGGCAGTTCCCACCCACAATATGAACTCTCTTTCCCTCTCTAGTTGTTTGACTTGATGCTGATGGCTTTCAAGTACAAGGTATTTACTTGCAAGTCGGGCCACGAGCTCCTGATGCTAACCCTGTCTCATCTTGATGACATTCGGCTCCATATTGATGAAGTCCAGTATTTCGTGGACATGGTCAACACCATGTTTGCTCAGTGCGTGGAATTTTATAAAGAAAAGATGAGCTCAGCTCAATTGGAACTAGTGAGGCACACTATACTTAACTTCTTGCAAGATTCGCATAAAAAGGTAATTACTATTATAATGACAAACAGGTATTTGCAAATCTACGTGCTATAGGTGTCTATATTTTTGACTCGTCATATCCAGCTGCCAACAGGACGGTTTGTGTTGCCTCACGGTGGGACTGTACCATTCGGTTGTGAGATGCCCGGAAAGATCACTTACCTTCAGAAAGACCAAAAGTCGGAAACGGTCTCATTGTCCGTGAAGTACTATAGAATTGAGAAGGAAGGATCGCTCGATTTCATCGGAGATAGGAGAATGTTCCCCAACGTCAATTTGTAATGAAAAATAAATGCATGCATTTTTTGAGCTAAATTAAATTATTGAAATAATTAGTGCCAGTTACCACATTGTTAGCGTCAATAAGGGCCGGGATTGTACTCTGGCCCTTCAACCATTAGAGTATGATACTTTTAGGTATGGCAATGAAAAGAGACAGAGAGTTCGATCAATCGATGCAGCACTATCCGATAGACTTGGGAAGATGGTAATGATAATAATGATAAAGTTAATGTTGTATTATGTATTGTGCACAGGATGAAGAGGAAACCTCTTCAGGTTATGGTGAGCTGGACTTACTGCAGCACCTCTTGATTGGCTTCCAAAACTCACCGTCTACTACAAAATCATTCAAACTGACACTGTTTGAAGATGATGAAGATAAAGAACCTGCTAAAAAGCCAGGAGCAAACACAACCAAGGCCAAATCAGTAACACAGAAAAGGTAGTAATATAATTGACAAGGAGTGCATGTGTATCAGTATCTGATTTCTTATTGCAGTGATAGTGGTACTACTGTTAAGATATCAGACTGCAAGGTGAGTATAATAAACTATGTAATACCATCCAGCATTGATATTGAAAATTAACTGTATTGTAGTCATCTGAGATGAAATTAATAATTGATGATTTTGACGAGAAGACAACAGTAAGTGTTACTGATAAAGGTGATGATCTCCTAAGCCTCATGGATGCTCTATAAGTTATACTGTTAATTCATTAAACACTTCATTCCTTACACCTTAGCCCATTCACACGTTTTCTCAAAATGGTCATAATTGTTATTTCAATTTTAAATAATATTGTCATTATTTTTTTCAATTGTCATTTGGTTCGTCATTGGATTCATCATTGTTGTCGGTTTTCTTTGGAACCGGTGCCGCTCTCAATTCCAAATACTTCCATGGCGTCCCATCAAATTTCCTAAGTTTGATTTCAGCTTTTGTTCCTAATAGCTCCACTTTACTCTTCTCCGGGTCAATTACCTAGTGGAGGTCATGCGTAGCAGGAATGAGTATCAAAGCATACTTACTCCTTCTAGTTTCCATGTCTTTTGAAATGTTCTTTTACCTCCTTCATAAGATATGACTGCATTTACCTAAGGGGAAGGCAGTAACATGAAGGGCAATAGGATATTAGTAATGCTCAACATCTTACTAATGTCTTATTAGCAGTAAAGTGACATGCTTCAGGTACTGAGCACTTTGAAAATACTGAGATTATTATTTGTGATCCTGTTTGATGCCAATCACAACTACAATATAATAAGACCATCATGTAACCATGACTACATGTACATTATGCTACTAACCGAGTAGGTTTCTCAACACCGTTAGCCTGAAATAAAAAGAAGAAAGGCAAAAGACAAAGAGAGAATCATATCAACTTATCAAGAGATTGTTTACCTTCCAGAGGTGGTTGCCAGCTTTGCAACCTTCTTGTCTTAGAAACTCATTAAAATCTGATGTCCTCTTTTGACAGCAAGACCATAACTTGTAACTACATGTACATGTACATCAAAGTGAAGGTATATAGGAAATGAGGTTGTATTCACTAACCCTTCATGAAATATTGGCACCCCTGGGTGATATTGACAGTCACTCAAGTTACTATCAGGACCTAAGTATGTCTACAAGGAGAGAGATAAATAATAATAGGGAAGTTTTGAAGAGGTACAGCTTACAGCCTGACATCCACCATGTTTACATTGTGTTCCAATAAGAATCTCGTCATCCTCTGATCCTTGAAAATAATAAAAAATGCAATAAAATTGCTACTTGTACATCATGTTCGGTATAAAGGTAATGACATTCATGTTCATATACTATTAATATTATCTTATAATCCACTTGCCTTTTGCCTCTTCTTCTGTCCCAGCAGTATTATTACTATTAGTTTCTTGTTCGGATACTTTGAGCCTTGCCAGTGCTGACTTTAATGAACTGGATACTGAGACTTTTAATTCAATTTGTGGCTCATCCTCTCTGATAATAATAATAATAATAATGATGATAATAATAATAATAATAATGATGATAATAATAATAATAGTGAATGTACGTGTACATATATGTCACACGTATGAGTGAGGTACTTACGAAGGTCTCTCAATCGGTACTTTAGGTTTAGGCATTGGTGCCTTCACCTCTATTACCTTTATGAGAAAAAAAATACTAATTATAATAATCAATAATAGTACCTCTCCCTTCTTTAGTGGTGTTTCAGAGGTCTTGACTGGTTCTGCCGGTTTGACTGGATTATGTTTGCCTTTTGTACATCCCTGGATAAAGGAATAGGGAGGAAGACTCTGGTACACTCTCTTGGTACTGCATTAGCTTACTGGCATGTTAAGGAAGTCAGTAAAATCTGTACTTCTCTTTTTACAGCAAGACCATCCCTTGATATAGCAGTGGTGATACATGGGATATGATATTTTTAATTAAATAATGGTCACTGTACCTTCATAGCATCATGAAACACAGGGACACCAGGATGATATGTACACACATCTACATGTACGTATAATTATTAATAATCAAATATATTATTATTAATGATGTATTGCAATATATATAATAAATCCCTCCGCCCATGGATAAATGCTTGAAATCGATGATTTTTAAATAGTTTGGTCCAAATTGAAAATAATGATGTTAATTAATCAATAATTATCCCATACCATTTACGTTTTCCTCTTCAGTAAAGCTCTTTCCACATCCTTTATTGTAGCACAGTAGCAGAGACGACATGATTACAATGATAAATTCAAAATATCACTGAATACCTCGCTGAATACAGTGTCAGACTAGCAGATTCTAGAAAGAGACAAGATAACTCGAGATTATTATAATTATTAATTAAAGAGGCGTGTCTCTTGAATCTGGGTGGTTTAATAGGCGTGGTTTCAATTAACCACGTGTTCGTTTTATCTTCCTTTTCTCTCTCTCTTTCTCTCTCTTTAATTATGAGTGTAGAAACAGGAGCAACAGGAGGTCTAGAAGAGGACCCTCCTGCTCCTACTCCTCCCCCGCAGTCTCATCTTGCTGTACAAGATTTATCTAAACTCGTGAGTCGTGTAACATTCCATTGTGTGGTTTTTGCTCTCGAGGGCTAATTTATCAACAATCTGTCCCTATACTAACATTGTCTCTATACTAACATTGTAGCCTGTTCGAAAAAAGGTTATAGAGTGTATTTCTATTTGTTTAGAAAGCATCGGAGCTTAATCCATTGACTCCTGAGGTGATCAGTCGCCAGGCTACCATTAATGTTGGCACCATTGGGCACGTGGCTCACGGTAAATCGACTGTAGTTAAGGCTATTTCGGGCGTTCAGGTACTTCACTTTTAGCAATATATGCACATTATATTTTTGTCTTGTCTAGACGGTTCGTTTTAAGAATGAATTAGTTCGAAATATTACAATTAAACTTGGTTATGCTAATGCTAAGGTAATTCATATATCATCGATATTCTAATCTCATCTCATTTTTATCATCTATTCTGTCCCTTATGTCCTTCTATTCCTATTCCTCTTCTTATCCATACTCTGTTAGATATACAAGTGTGATAATGATCACTGTCCAAGACCAGGATGCTATAGATCTGATAGTAGCTATAAACCTGATGTCTTTCCTTGTGATACCCCTGGCTGCAAGGTAAAGCTATATATAGGCTCACCACAAATACATTCATTTTGTAATACAACACTTTTAGCATTGTTTAGTATATGTTGTTGCTTTGAGTGTGTTCTTGTTGATATTTCTAGGGAAGTTTTCGTCTCTTGCGTCACGTATCGTTTGTTGATTGTCCTGGTCACGATATTCTCATGGCGACTATGCTCAATGGAGCAGCTGTGATGGATGCTGCCTTGCTCCTAATAGGTACACCTTATACTATGTGTCTCAAGCCGTTTGTCAATATTAATTTTATGTATAGTTATGTTGTTAGTATGGGTTTCGTTTTTGTCTTTTAGCTGGTAATGAATCCTGTCCCCAGCCACAGACGTCGGAGCACTTAGCTGCTATAGAGATAATGAAATTAAAGCACATAATAATATTACAGAACAAGATTGATCTCATTAGAGACACTCAGGCTAAAGACCAATATCAAGAGATTCTTAAATTCGTCCAAGGTAAGAACAAATGACCATTTTCTTCATAACGTATTTTACATTCTATATTGGACAAGTCATTTGTACTATTAATCATTAGCCATACTCTAATTTACTATTATATTTTTATTGTTGTATTGTCTGTCTATGTAATGCAGGTACAGTGGCAGAGGGTGCACCTGTTGTCCCAATATCAGCTCAACTGAAGTACAACATTGAAGTTGTATGTGAGTATATAGTGAAAAAGATACCAATACCACTGAGAGACTTTACATCACAACCAAGACTAATAGGTATGATAACACACTACATGACATAATATACATGTACATTTATGCGCATAAACATAGTTGATATTCATTTAAGTAGAGACTGAGCTTTTTAATATATATATTTATCGACATGGTTGTGACAAGGATACATTCTTTATTTTTTACAGTTATCAGATCGTTTGATGTGAATAAGCCAGGTTGTGAGGTGGATGAGTTGAAAGGAGGAGTGGCTGGTGGTAGTATCCTTAAAGGAGTCCTCAAGGTAATAGCCTCCTACATGTGCATGCAAACTTAACTTGTTACTAGCAATTATCATGTCCTGTTATTTGTATGCTCTAATTATTACAATTATTTGTAGGTTAATGAGGAGATTGAGGTTCGCCCTGGTATTGTATCAAAGACGCAAGATGGAAAGATACTCTGTCAGCCGATTCTCTCACGAATAGTTTCATTATTTGCCGAACAAAATGAGCTACAATATGCTGTTCCTGGTGGACTAATAGGTAAATTTAGCCGATGTCCCTGTACTATGGTACCAATTTTTGCCGAAAATGAAAAGTAGAGAATTCTTCACTTTTATAATTTTTTCTGATGCACATACATGTTCTTATATTGTGTAGAAAGTTTGAGCTGATTCTGATCAAAATTGGATTTTTTAGGAATTTTTAAAGTTGCTCCAAAATTGGACCAAAGTCCCTGTACTATAGTACAGTGTCATTGGCCAAATTTTGCCGAAAATGAAAAGTAGAGAATTCTTCACTTTTATAATTTTTTCTGATGCATATATATGTTCTTATGTTGTGTAGAAAGTTTTAGCTGATTCCGATCAAAATTGGATTTTTTAGGAATTTTAAAAGTTGCTCCAAAATCGGACCAAAGTCCCTGTACTGTAGTACAGTGTCATTGGTCAAATTTTGCCAAAAATGAAAAGGAGAAAATTCTCCACTTTTACAATCTTTTCTGATATAATATTTCATTCTGATCAAAATTGTATTGTAAATAATAATATTTATTATTAATATTGTCTTCTGTTTCCACTAGGTGTAGGTACTAAAATTGATCCAACTCTTTGCCGAGCTGACAGACTTGTTGGACAAGTGCTAGGGGCCGTGGGTGCTCTTCCAGATATATTTGTAGAATTAGAAATATCGTATTTCCTTTTGAGACGATTATTAGGAGTCAGAACTGAAGGAGACAGGAAAGGAGCTAAGGTTTGTAATGGATTTAGTATTGTCTTTTTAGTATACTGATATTTTATTATACCAATTATAGAACATCATTATTATTAATTTATTATTATTTACATCCATGTATGTATACCTATTATATTATTGTTACAGAACATTATTATTATTGCTATTGACTCTTACTATTTTATATATTTATAAAATCTTACTATTAATCTTATTATTAAGATATATTACTATTAATATATCTTACTATTTTATTTTATTGCAACAGGTTCAAAAGTTGAGCAAGAATGAAGTGCTAATGGTCAACATTGGCTCGCTTAGCACTGGTGGTAAAGTCAGTGCTGTGAAAGCCGATTTGGCCAAGATAGCCTTAACCCAGCCAGTCTGCACTGAAGTAGGAGAAAAGATTGCACTCTCTAGGAGAGTGGAGAAGCACTGGAGGTATGCAGCTTTACTATCATTATAGCACTTTCATTTGGCAAAGTTTATTTTGGCAATTGGCAAAACCACCAATCATTAATGTGCACGCCCAGTAATAAAAATTACCAAAGTAAAAATAACTAATTACAATTTTACAGTAAAATCACCAAAATAAAGTACTATTATAATAAATATACCCCTGCCAAGTAGTTTCCTGATACACATGCTTTCAATATTACTTACTGTTATGTGTGTTGTTATTATTCTTATTTTTTATCATTAGATTGATAGGATGGGGTCAAATAAGAAGGGGTACTGTGTATCGACCTTCGACCGACCAATCTGACTCTTAAGCTTTTCCTTTTATTAGAAATTAATAATATTAATAATTAATAATGTTGCCATACAATAATGAACTACTTCTGTCTTTTAATAATTATTATTAACATTGGAACCACTTGTTCATCAATGGGAGGGAATTTGGCCTGATTTTTGAGCAAAGTAAGAATCCACCTTTGATCGAATGGCCAATATAATTATTCTATAAATAGAATTTATTACGAATCTATAATTTTAACAAATAAATAGAATGACAGCTCTATGCAATTTAAAGTAGCACAAAAACTACTAAAAAGTTTTCAAAATCTAAAGTATAATAAGTAATCATTATTATCATAATATAATGAGAGATCCGCTTACAATAAAAATGAGAGTGATACATGCAAATGTCACCAGTTATTAAGTCTAGCAAATGTCATAGCAATCATAGCACCTAACACCAGTAGTGGAGGCAAGAATGGCTTCACATCATTCATTGACAATCCTTTGAACTGAGGAGGATGAGGCTCCTTTGATCGAGTGTCATCATCAATCATATCAGTTTCTCCGTGAAACTTTTTATCAGCATGACGCGCTAGTATACGGACTAGAGGACGTAGCTGTATCCACCATTGATCATTAGGTATCCTGTACTTCATATCACACTTATCCTTTAGAACAGAGACTGGTGTGGGCTTATACTCCACTCCAACTAGACCCATGACACAGATTGTATCACTCCCAGTGGCTAACACCTTCCCTTCACTAGTGGTACTGCGCTCCATACATTCCAACAGGTGATTCATGGATTGATAGGCATACTTAGTGCCTAGTATACGATCAAATGGACTCGGTGCATCGCCTTGCTGGAGGTGACCCAAGACACTGCTCCTGGCTATAAAGTAGTCCTTGCCTTCTTCGGCTAGCATCTGCGTCATGAAATCAGTCGTGTAGTTATTATTGCAGGATTCGTTACGCATGATGATACCTTTCTCAAAATTACCAGCTTTAAACTTGTGAACCATGTGAGCCACATCCTTGCGAAGGTGATCTAAATTAAAGGACTCTTCAAATATGTACGCACTGTCAGCTCCACCTGCTAGAGCACCCATTGTTGCCAGGTAGCCACAATAGCCCCCCATAGTCTCCACGACAAAGACACGCTTCCTGCTAGCAGTGGCCGATTGCTTGAGTATGTCACAAGCGGAGACAATGACATTCAGAGCAGTATCACAACCAAGACTATACTCGGTGCCAGGGACATTGTTGCTTATGGTAGCTGCCACTTGGACTATGGGGATGCATAGTGCTGGATACTTGCGCCTACCCTCCTCCAACTTGATCAGAGATTGAAACGCTTCAAATCCACCGACGACCAGCAGGCCTTGGATACCATGAGACTCTAAGGATTTAGCGATAGCATCAAGTGATTTGTCATCAGGGACCGTGCGTGTGGTACCCAGTTTAGACCCACCAACTGACCCCCACTCACTAACTTCAGACCAGTCCAAGTTCTTAATCTCTCCCTCCTTTAGCCCATCAAATCCACTGTATATTCCCAGTACAGTGTGTCCACTGTATAATAGGAAGCGTACAAAGGACCTGGTGCAGCTGTTGGTTCCACCAGCAGGTGCTCCAACATTCATCACGGCAAATGTGTAAGAAGGAGAGCTGGGACTTGACTCTGGTTTGCAGGTGGTCGTTGGACAGGCCTCAAGCTTCTTAAGTATCTTTATGTTTCTAGCAAAGCTGGATCCTCTTAGCTCTTGCATTCGATTGAAGTCTCGCTCATTCAGAGCACTTCCAATCTTCTTTGTCGTTTCCACACAAGACATCAGAGGCAGTTTGGTCATCTCATTTCCTCTAATAGCAATCATGAAAGCATCCATCTCCCCCTTTGCTTCAAACAAGGTCTGGACAGCAGCTGCTCCCATCCTAGTGCCCAGTATACGGTCGTAAGCAGAGGGTCTTCCCCCACGTTGTACGTGACCCAATACAGTCACTCTAGTATCAAACCCTAGCTTTGAATCAATTACTTTCTTGACATCAGACGTTGTGATTTTTTTGTTTTCTTGATCAATGGCCCCCTCAGCGACTAGGATAAAATTTAGTCGCCTTCCTTTTTCTCGAGACGACTTTAATTTATCGCACATGCTTTCCTCCCAGCCTTCCTTGGGTGGGTTTTCTGGTATCAGTACCCATTCAGCCCCCACGGCTATGCCGGCCATGATGGTAAGGTACCCACAGTTCCGTCCCATTATCTCCAGTACAAAGGTCCTCTGGTGACTGGAGGCAGTGGACACAAGACAATCCATTGCTTCTATGATACGATGGAGTGCCGAGTCTGTACCGATGGTCATATCAGTTCCACACATATCATTATCAATGGATCCTACCAGTCCAACTATATTGAGGTAAGGAAGCAAGGCTGCTTCCTCTTGCGTTATCCTCTCTTTTCTAACTAGTTCCTCCAGGAGTCCTTTCCATTCCTCTTTAAAGATGTTAGCTCCTGTGAGGCTACCGTCTCCTCCGATGATGACTAGGTTGTTGATTCTGGCTTTGACAAGGTTTGCTGCTGCGTCCAGTCTTCCTGATCTCTCGCGAAACTCTTTACATCTTGCCGTCCCTATTATCGTCCCACCTTTATGCATTGTATGAGTGACGTCCGTCCACTGGCACTCCTTGATCAATTCCCCGCCTTCAACCAGACCTTTATAGCCTTCATTAACAAGGTAAGGCTTCATCCCTTTGAACAGAGCAATACGGACGACAGCTCTCACTGCTGCATTCATTCCTTGAGAATCTCCACCGCTGGTAAGGACGGCCAGGCAGCGATCTTCAGTATCTTTCTTCTTCATCAAATCTTTCGTCTCCACGGGCTGAGAAAGAGTACGCAAAGGCGGAGAAGATGCGACTTCCATTGAAGCTGCCATCTTTATTTTTCTGAGCATGCGCAGTAAAAGAATGTAATTTTGAAAACTCCGCCCACTACCAAGGCGTGGTTTGAATGCGAACTTAATGCGCATGCGCATTAGTTGGAATGTAAGTGGCAAAGGGTGGTGGATTTGAGGGTTGCTCTTGTTCCTTTCTCTTCAGCCATTTACGCTCTCAGTCAATACGTTATTTGGCCGCTCTCACCCCAGTCTCATATCTTAGAGAGACTATGGAGAACAGTGATGGAGGGGTAAGTCTATGATAGAGTAGTCGTAACCGTCTGTATTAACTTTTTGTCAATAAAGAACTTATTATGTATGATATATAATAGCGCTCAGCTCACTCTAAATAACTGTATATTCTTTAAGCTAGCCAATAGTCGCTCATTGGTGTGTACAGAGTAAATTTAGCCATAGATACTTATGATTTTACACCTGGGTGTCATGTGACATCAGTACACATTGATACTTTATAGTGTGTACAATGTGATCTTCAATCTTCCACTTTATCGTATCGGGCAGAAGTAGTAAGGACCGATTGCATTCTGATTTCTGAAAGTGGGAGTGTCTGATATTCAAAGCCCAGCCCACAATGTTGTATGGTATCATTTTCCTTTCTGGCAACTCTCATCCATCTGTTATTGTTGCATGGAGTAATGGGCTCTGTCGTCATTCTTTGTTGACTCATACTTAACTTTCTCTTCCCCTTATTACTCCCATTAATTTGACATTATTTACAATGTGTATACATTGAGTATGACATCTACAATGTAGCTTCTTTGCTAACATGATTGATGGTTGTAGCTCCATTCCATCATTCTCTGTATCTACACGTAGCACTGATCATTACTGTGATGCTAATACACATGTACGCTAATTGTGTTTAATAAATTACCTTTTATGGCTCACCAATGCATCTTCATTGCTTAATTAAATAATGTACATCATGTATAGGGACTTATCGTTCCTTTTCTTTTTCACTGTAGCAGGTCCTAAAAGGTATTTACTTGGAATGTATAATATGTACATTGGACTATGGACTGGATGCTGATCGTGTTCCCCGTGTTCTTAACTGCGGCCATACTTTCTGCCACTCGTGTCTCAGGCAGTGTCTCCGGAACGACGGGATACCCTGTCCTTTCTGTTCCGCCGTGACAGGTGTGACATTCGGCGATGTTTCCCGGATACCGGTCAATTATAGTATACTGGACATGTTAGCGATTGAAAATAAACCGGAAGAAGAGGAGGAAGATGATGAACTATGCGAAGTCTGTGTTAAAGTCCCCCCTACCATTATATGTGTGTCTTGCTCTCCGATGGGTGTCAAGTTTTGTGATGAATGCGATAAAAAGGAACACAATCGCTCCTTTAAACCGGTCCAGCTCCACAAGCGTATACCTCTCAAAGATTACAATTTCTCCATAATGTGCTCCAGACATAACGGAACTGTGGCCACTCATTATTCTGAGCTCCTCAACCACTTTGCCTGTCTTCAGTGTCAGAGTGACCCTGATTGGAGCGGGCGGAGTCAGAGCTTTCTACAAGTCATTGACGCAGCCGAACACTTGAGAGTCCGAGCTGCAAAGTACAACTACCAGTGTAGCTTGACTATGAAGCAGCTTCACAACACTCAGAAGGAGTTGGACTCGACTCTGTTGAAACTGGTCCAGTCTGCTGGTGAAGCTAAACTTGCTATTACCAGTGAGTTTCAAAGACTAGCTGATGCACTTCAGTTGAGGCAACAGAAGCTTTTGAAACGTGTTGAAGAAGAAGTAAGTACTTGTATAATGGGTCTAGTGTGATGACTTCAATATTTATTTTGTCCTTACTTTATGCTAATAGCTCCCCCTTCATCCTTGATGAAGTGTTCTGCTACAATTTAATTGCAAGTTTAGGCTTCTTTACACTTTATCACAAATCAAAATCTATGACATCAGCTTTGTACTATTGCTAGTATGATAGTTAGCAAAATCATCGTTACCTTGTAATATTTGTTTTGTAATGTACAATAACTTTCTGTCTCTCTCTCTTTTGTACAGTATCGAAATCGCAAGGAAAGTCTAGAGCAACAGAAAAGTCAAGTTATAGAAAGGTCCCATGCTTTAAGTGGGCACCACGAGCACCTGAAGAGTCTCCTCCAGCGCTCAAACGAAGACTTCCTTCGGGGATATAACCACGTCATGGATGGTGTCATGGTATATTTACACGGTGAAGATAACAACAGCTTATTCAGTGTCTCTGCACCTGGTGACCTACCATTCTTCTTTAGAGGAAAAATGGAGGAAGAGATGAAGTCCCATGGAGCAGTTGGGGGAGGTCCCGTCCCTCAGAACATATTATGTCAGCGTGTTCCACTCCATCAGTCCACCATGCCTCAGTTGTCATGGTCTCTTCCTCAGTACAATAATGAAGTGACTCAGTATGAGGTAGAGTATGAGTACATACCTGATGAGCGTCCCCCTAGTCCTGGTAACAGTGGCCTGTTATCTGCGGGTATGTCTCAGCCTGCTGTCGTCCCTAAGTCGGGAAAAGCACAGGCTCATATCATGAATGATCTTGTTCCTGGGTGTCGCTATCGTTTCAGAGTGCGATCAAGGAGCATTGCTGGTTGGGGGATGTGGAGTGACTCCACTACAGGTCGGTTTGATGGGTTCCCTGTACAGATGGGATTCACTGGTGAAAAAGTCTCCATTAAAGTCCCAGTGAATGGTGAATACCGCATCACTGCAGCTGGTGCTAAAGCTGCCAATGGTGGCAAGTTTAAAGGTGGACGTGGAGCCATAATATCAGCGGTTTTTAAACTAGAGGCATACGATCGTATTGAAGTCGCTGTTGGTGGGATGTCCCAGATGGGGACCGAGGGTCACTCTGGAGGCGGTGGTGGTACATTTGTGTTGCTCTCCAATCTAGGAGAATGTAAACTGGATAACCTCCTGATTGTTGCAGGAGGAGGAGGAGGAACTCGTGGATATGATGACCAAGATGAGGATGGGTATGACGCTAGTTTAGAGACTTCTGGAATCGACGGACGAGGAAATGAACACGGGGAGGGAGGTAAAGAAGGTTTGCCTGGTACAGACGCTGACTATTCATGGTATCAAGGTCCCTGCTGGGGCTGTGGCGGAGCTGGCTTCACTAAAAGCTCTAAAACAGCCAAGTGTTATTCTGAAGGGCTCGAAGGTGGTCAAAACGGTGGTTTTGGAGGTGGTGGAGGAGTGGGACTGTATGGAGGAGGAGGAGGTGGTGGATTCTCTGGAGGAGGAGGAGGGAGAGGAGGTGGAGGAGGAGGGAGTTATGTCAAGAAGACAGCAACACAAGTCTCTAAGAGAGTGGGCAATGAGAAGGATGGCTACGTTCGTATCGAGCGAGTCAATTCGTCTCAGGACCCACTGATTTGTATATCACGTAAAGAAATATTTAACGGGACAGGACTGAGTGGTATCATTACTCCAAGGAGTGAGAGTTCGTCTGGTAGCTCCTCTCCAACAAACAACAGGAGTCCACAGAATACACAGCTCATACAATAAATATGACATGACTGCTTGTCTGTGATTTATTGATGTTATTTTTACCTGACGTTTACTACTATTACTAACTGTATGCTAGCACTTTTTTGTGGTGCAACTTAACGTACTCTAGCTCTCTCTAGATCCCTCTAGTGTCTGTGTTGAGTGTATATGTATATACATGTACATAAAGTGTATGTTCCTCTTTTCTTGTTATGTATTCTGTTTCAGGAGAGCTCAGTTGATTGAGTTTCGCTTGAAGTTTGGCAGCTGTTGCTGTATTGGCTGGTGCCTCATTGATGTCTCTTTCTCTTACTGACTGGACGATCCGTTACTAAAGGATTACAGACATTATTATTATTATGTGTTGATATAGGACTAATGTTTTGTGTGTGCTTCAACATGACTTAGCAATCAAATCCTTTTTTATTCATTATAACCAAACCATCATGTATTATGTTCATTTTAATGCATGTTTGTTAATGATAATTTAAAATAATTTTTGGGCTGAGCCAATTTCAATGAAAATTGTACTTGCAAGTGATCATGCCAGTTGATTGTCAAAAATTATATCAACATGCAATGTTTATACTTTTGCGCATATGTAAATGATAAACTACATGCATGTTACTTTTAATAATTTTGACTTTTTAATAGTATAATTGTAATCATAATTAATTAATTAAACTAATAATCCTCCCAAATCATTACTGAATAATAATAATTATAATTATGCACAACATGTCAGAACCATGCAAAATTAATAAGAGTTGCCACAGCAACGTGAAATAATTAAGTCTCAGCTGGAGACTTGACGACTTGAATAATGACGCTCCCGTGTCCTGTGTTCCCGATATTCTTCACTACGTCAAGTCCATTACTGCGGACATAACTCCCTCCTCCTCCTCCTCCTCTTCCTCCTCCTCCCCCAGAGTACCCTCCTCCCCCTCCTCCTCCGTAAGCTCCAATAGCTCCACCACCTCCAAACCCTCCTCCCTCTCCAGCCTTGCCTCCGGAGACAAACGACTGCGATGACGTTGAGTTCTCAAACTGGCCGGCTCCTCCATATCCCCAGCAGGGTCCCTCCCATAATGCGTCTCGTCCGGCTTTGCCACCCATGCCACCAGAGGCCCATTTCTCTCCCTGGCCTCCTAGCCCGTTGGGGTTTATACTAGCATCTTTACCGTCCTGATCATCATCCTCATACCCTCTAGTGCCTCCTCCTCCACCAGCTGCTATCAATAGATCCTGACGGCCGTTGAGGCCCACAAAAGTCCCTCCGCCTCCTCCACTGCAGGGACCTTTAACTGTCGACATGCCAGCGACTAGAATTTCAAGCACTTCATTCTTGTCTAGTTTGAAGGTTGCCTCGATGATGGCCCCGTTACCTCCTTTCTTCTTCTCTCCATCGGCTGCTTTAGCTCCGCAGGCTGTTATTCGATACAATCCATCATGAGGAAGGGGGATCTTTACTATCTTGCCACTGAAATTTATCTCAAGTGGGAAAGAAGGTGTGATGCCATGTATAGACGGACTCCACATGCCCCATCCGCTCTTGTTCCGGCTCCGTATACGGAACCGGTACTTCATCCCAGGGAGAAGGTTGTCTATCCTCTTTGAGAGGTCGTGACCTTCCGTGACGTAGTGACGAGGGAACGAATGGTCACGCATAGCAGGGCTGGTGCTCTCTGCCTCAGAGAACACGAGATCACAGATAATCTCATACTCTAATATATGCTGGTCTGGTTTCTCCCACGTCAACTGTATGATGCCGCCGTCCATCACGCACTTGAAGGATTTCGGTGAAGGGCCTCCACCCACTAGCCCCAGACCGTCGATGGCTGTCTGAAACTCTGGTGTGACGTATATTGATATCTCTGAGGGCACCATGGGTTCGTTGAGATCGTCATCTTGTAGTTCAACTACTTGTTTTTTCATCTGATCCAACACGCTTGATGCCCTCTGCAATAGGCTGTAGTCATACATCTGATTGAGTAGGTTAGCTTGTATCAGCGAGGTGGTGAGAGAGCCTAGTGCCACTTCAACTCTCTCTATCTGCTCATTCACTAGATGCTTTTGATTGGTTGCCTATTGAGTGAAAGGATAAAGAAAGAGGAGAGAGAGAGAGAGAGAGAGGGAAATGAAGTAGGAAAGATAGAGGCAGATTTATTCATACCAATATTTACTACTCAAAATAGCATCACATGCTTGAGAAGGTTAAAAATTAAATTACAAAGTACAAGAGCTTAATGATGCATGAGTAGACTGCACTGTGAGTACTTGCATGGTGGTAATATAACATTTTCCAGTTAATGATTATTATAACCATTGACCACTGTACTGTACAAGTGAGAGTTCAAGCAACTTTAACATGTACTTGTGTACTTTGTAGTGGGTGGTATATGAAATCTCATTATCTAATTATTATTTACACACTATTATGAGGGAATTTTTATAAGGTGTGTTCACAGTTCAATTATACTATCACTAATGTACACAACACCTTTGGTGCAACAGATAATAAATAGCAATGAAGCTCCAACAAATAATAAAGAGGAATGAAGTTTCCCTTCATTACTATTATTAGTAAATCATAGCCTAAATTAGAAGTACACATTGAAGGTATGTTGACAATTAAGCTGGTAAATGTGAGAGACAGTGTATGTAAAAACATGATAACCTACATGTACATGTACATGTACATGTACATGTACATGTACATGTCATCAAGGCTCTTGATGTCATGTACTGTGTAACCCAGTCAACTGTTTAGCCTTTTCAAAAAAACTGAAAATCCAATAAATTGATTTTAATTCCCCCAATAAATCTTTATGGCTTGATAATGAAGAAAAGTACATTAAGGAGAAGGTGTACATGTACATTCACAATAGATGCATACATGTATGCATTAGAGCTAATAACTCACAGTTTCCTCAACTTGAGATTCAACATAAGCCAGTCTCTTCCTCAACGCCATCTCAAAGTCCTGAAAATCAATCCTAACCTTCTCAATAGCCGAGAGCTTCACCTGATCCATCTTACCGAGCTGGTCTCCAAGTTTATTCTGTGTTACTTGTAAACGGTCACGCATCGTCGAAACCTTAGTCATGAGAGAGGGTATGGCATCGCGTACATCAGATACAGCTCTTTCAATGTCAACGTAATTCTCAGTCGAGATGCTAGGGTCATTCATACAGTCCTCACATGCGAAGCGATTCTCATCAAACGAGAACCACTCGCAGGCTCGGCTGGGGTGAATTGGGCAATCGGGAAGAACGGCGCCATATTTAACCTGGTCAATTGGTACGGGTTTATGGTGACGGAGCGGACCAAAGGAGCGACTGTGCTCCGTCTCACAGCAATGCTGGCAGAATCTGAATCCGGCCGGGAGGCACTGGTAGCATACGAACCGAACCTCCTTGCTGTTACAATGCTGACAGACAACGGCTTGTCTAGGGGCAGCGACGTCCCTAATTTTATCAGGATTGGACTGCTGTGTGTGTAGAGCTATGTAACTCATGAGGGCCACATTAGGGGCATCAGGCTCCTTGCTCATCTGACCACACTGGGGGCAGGTTATAACGCCAGAGTCGTCTTTTCTCAGTACTCCGATACACCTTTTGCAGTAGCTGTGACCACAAACAATGATTATACGGGGCTGTAGGTCTCCTTCGGTGGAGTACTGGTCTCTACAGCGCGGGCACTGCATGTTGGGACTGTCAGGAACGACAGGAGAGGACAGACAAAGTCGTTTTAGATGGTTGCCCTGGAATCGGGAAAGTATCCTCGAGTGAGTGGACCCTCTTATTGGGCACTAAATAGAAAACCAGTTTATTAACTTTTAGTTTTAAAAATCAAAATCAAGTAGATGATGATCTCTAGATCTAAGATCATGATTCTGCATCAAAGCATCGCCATTTCTCCGTTTAGGCAATCGTAAAACACAATAGTCAAGTCCGTATACTTTAATCACATGTACTCTTTGGAGAATGAAAAGACAATTTTAACCCGTTATCCACCAGAGAACTGACATGCAGCAAGTATCTTCTTAGGTCATTCATCCTCCCTGAGAGGTCTTCCCTGCTTTCTGGACCTCTCTCCTCTTCTCACATTCCACCAGAGCTACTACACCAGTTTGCAATGGCGTCAAGGAGACGTAGAAAGAGCTCTACTTCTGTACAAGACCTCGCTTCTTCCTCAGGAGACTGCACTGCAAAGTGTCGAGCGTTGGAACACGCACACGTGGTACACAGAGTAATTGCTACTGGTAACCTTGAATTACTAAAGCACTGTTCAACAATATGTGGCAACCCTTGGTATAAGTGGTACGTATATAATATTTGTTTCTTGTTTAGTATAATTATTACATGTAATAGCTAGCAAACAATGCATTCCATTGTGTATCACTGTAATATAAAGGAAAGGAGGAAGTGTTTGAATGTGGTTGATTTATAGGCAGGTGTAGTAATGACACACCCACTTTATTAATGATCGATTACATTTTGTACATGTACATGTATGTGTATGTATAATGTAAAAGATGTGATTCCTATTGCATTATCAATAAATGGTGGTCACTGTTTACTATAATCACTGATAATGTTTTTATTGCCTTCTTTGACTGATTTCAGCTTCATATTGTAGATTGACTAAATACATGTATCGATCCTTTTAAATTTTATTGATTTATTTTATTTGCCATTGTAGCGATGAAGCTGGTCGCTCAACCCTACACGTTGCTGCTTCAACTGGATCTTCAGAGATAGCCCAATGGCTACTGAGGAGGAAAGGAGCTAAAGAGAAACTGATCAATCTCACGGACATTGACTCGAACTGGACTGCGTTGCATCGTGCAGCATATTTCGGATACCCTGGCATAATGGTGCCATTAATGAAGGTATGAAAATGTACATGCATGTACTAAAACTGTACTGATGGGATTTTTGCTCATATTATAGGCTGGAGAGAGTCTGGAGGCATTAGATAAAGATGGGTGGTCACCGCTAAATGTGCTACACTCAAACTATGCTGATATACTACCAGGTAATATGGAGGAGGCTGGAATCTGTTAATTCAATTTAAGACTAGTTTTGTACAAACTTGTAGTCTACTCTGATAGTAATTTCAATGATGTGTGTAATGTATATATATGTACATGTAGGTGTATCGCTTATTGTGATGATAAATGAACATCATCTGTCCTATGTTTACAAATTGGATATAGAATAACAGTTCTTGTATTGCATTAAATTGTCTCCAAAAAATTGGATAGCCAAAGGGCTCCACTATTTGGGAGAAACTCGTTCAAAAATTGTAACTTAATGATGCATGTACTTTAGCAAAAAAACTGATTAAAAGGTTTTCTGTCACTTTGTAGGAGTTTCTGAGGTCTCTCTCTACTTGTGGGGTGGCAATGTCAACAATACGTTAGGACACGATCGTAGCAAGTTAAATCCTGAACCAGTTGAAGCTTACCCTGCTTTTGGAAATGTAGAAAAAGTATGCTGTATTGCTGTTATGAGTCATACTACATGTACATGTATGTGTATGTGATATTTTCTCTCTTCATTGCAGGTTGTACTGTGTAAGTTCCATACATTGATACTGACCAAGAGAGGAGCTGTCTATAGCTGTGGGCATGGAACTGGTGGCAGACTAGGACATGGCAATGAAAATACTGTCCTTGTAAGAAAGAGAGAGAGAGAGAGAGAGAAGGAGTCATGTAATGGAGAGGGAAGAGAAAGAGAGAAAGATAAACATTGTGTTCATTTTCTTCCTTATTCAGTCTCCAAAGGTTATTGAGGGATTATCTCATTGTGTGTCTATAGCAGCTGCTAGGAATCACAGTGTCTTCCTCAATAAGTTAGTTCTATTAAGGAACAGGGACACTATTGTATTGTTATTTGAAAAGGCATAATGTGACCATTATACATTCTCTTCTACTAGAGATGGGTCGGTGTATACTTGTGGCATTAATGACGCTCAGCAGCTGGGCCATGGTTCTAAGACAGGCTCTACTGTACTCTCTCCGTATTTTGTTAAATCTTTAAAGTCGAAGAGGATTAGATTAATAGGTGCTGGGCGCTACCACACTGCCGTGGCTACTGCTAACGAGGTATACAGCTTTGGTACAAGTTACGGGCAACTAGGGCAAACGAGATCAAATCCTAATCCAAAGATAGTAAGTTTTGAATTTTAAATACTAGATTTATAATCATGCATATAATAGTTGAAATTCAAATTATTTTTTATGTAATTCAAACCTTTTTTAATCTCATTCCTATTGTTCCAGATTCCTGGTATTACGTTGGAGCAAGGCGATACTATCGATCATCTCTCAGTCAGTGATGCAGCCACTGCTTGGATTACTAGCAAGAGACACCAGATATTCATCTGTACCAATCATACAGTCCTCCGCTGTGAGAGGTATATGATTTATAATTTATACTGTACATTTTTTATTATGAAAAATTATAAATTTAATTGCAAAAAATGATTACATGTATTAGTTTTTTTCTTGATTTCTCTTGCCTCTTGTTTCTAGGTATAATAACTTTCCCGATACACTCTCTGTCCTTCAGTTTGCAGTTTGTGCTAGTCTCGGGGAACTGGAGCATAAGAAGAAGAAAAAGGGCGTGTCAGATCATGAGACAGATAGTGGGAGTGGCCTCAAGATTGCACTACTGGACAGCGAACACAAGGTATAGAGAGATACATTTACATGTACGTGTACATGTACATGTACATATGGGATGCTTTGACGTTAATGTTATGACATGGGGTAAATTAAATCATGACAGAAATTAAGCTGATAATTGATACTTAATAAGGAACTTAATTGTAGTAATAAATAATAATTATGATTATTGTTGTGTAGTTGTGGTTCAGTTATTGCTCAGATGCTACTGGTAATAAGAAAGGTATTACTCATCCTCGTATCATTCCTGGAGCAACTAAATACTCCGGTAAGAAACACAATGATCAATGTCCTTTTGTGCTATGTAGAAACTTCAAGCTATTTTTGAGTTATTTAGGCAGAATTTTGTACTTTATGCATGTGTATTGTATATATCATGGCTTTTGCTATGAAATTGTTATCATCATCATCATCATCATTATTTATTAATTAATTTATTTATTATGCAGTTGCTCATTTCTCACTAACAAAGAGTTTAACAATAGCAACAACACAAGGAGAGGTTTACACAGGGCCTGTCACTCCTACGCCATCGCTCACTGAACTATCGCGAGTTCCTCTGATACAGCAAGCAAAGAGAGTCTTCACTGACTTTAAAGCTACCAATATGGCATACCTCCAGACAGTGTATAGGTAGGAGGAGAGAGGGAGGGAGGGAGGGAACCGAGAGATTAAGAGAAAGAGCATTTTCTATAATTTTGTATTGTTTAGTCCTTTAGAGTTACCTATTATAGAGTCGTCGGCATTCAATGTTGATGTGTATAATTTATTATCGGAAATCAATTTGCCTCAACCTGTAGCTGATGTTCACTTTAATGTAAGTTACTATGATGCTTTGGTAAAATGCAGCCCGTATCAATTGATTATTTACATGCATCGGTGTTATTCCTTTTTATGGGGAAGACCTTAGCTAGTAGTAAATGTTTGTATTTGAAATGTTTAAGTGCAAACACAGCCTTAGTTGATCATCATCATGTCTCCACTCTCCAGCAGCTTTTTTGAAATTATAATACTAAATAGTTGAGCTATATACATGTGCATGTACGTTCATGTTGTACACTATGTAGGTTAATGGCTCAGTCTATACAGCCAATTCTGTTGTTCTCTCTTCAAGCAGTAACGTATTCTCATCGCTATTCTCATCCAGACCCATTCCTCCGTCGATAATACAATCATTTCATTTCACTGACTCAATCTGGCACTTGAACATTAACCTCAAATTCTCTTGTGACATCTTCCAGTTGTTCCTCATTTATTTGTACGGCGGGAGGATAAGACTAGAGCAGCCGTCGCATCACTCGTCATTCATAGCCTCACCAGAATCACTTAACACCACAAGCAAGTCCAGTCTCGACACGACCAGTGGCGATGACACCAGCACCACCGACTGGAATGTACTCTATGACCAATACGCTGGGGATAAAAACTTCACTGACCAGTTAGATGAACTCGTTTTGCCGGTTCTACCGGTTAATACTAGCGATCATTCTCCCTCTGTGTATGTGCATAAGAGCTCGGCAGTCAATAAGGACGTTGAGTCATTGTTGGAGTTAGCTACTGCGTTTGAGGTAGCACCTCTGATTGACAGGTAAAATTTGGAATAAAATATTCAATAAATGCAGTATATCAGGGTTTTTATATTAGCTTGCAAACTCCATCACAAGGCAGAATTATTTATTAGCAACAGTTATTAGTAGCTTTATGTCTTTGTTATTGATAGGTTGACTTTCGGTTCAAGTGGTGGTAGTGTTAGAAGTCAAAGTGTGCTTGAGTTACATCAGGATGTATTGCTAAAGCTTCACTCGTCTCCTCATGATGTTATACTGGTAGCTACAGTAGAAGGGGACAAAGAGATCAAGTGTCACAAGTGTATACTAGTGGCACGCTCGGGTAAGCATTGCTCTGTTTTTTTTTATTTATTATTTTATTTATTTTCTGCAGATTATTTTCAGAGCATGTTGCTAATGGGATGGAGAGAAGTGAGAAAGCTATCATTAACTTTGTTTGTCACACTAATTTTTTTGTTCTTTAGTCTTCTGCTCAAGGGACTGTAACTAAATTAAAGCTTCCAGTAACGTCAGTTCAATTGGAAATTATGGTACATTATTTGTACAAGGATTGTGCTCCTAAAGTTTCAGGTAATAATCATAAATTTTGCTTGTTTGCTGCAGCTGTCCGAAGTAGTATAGTGGTGAGTATCCCCGCCTGTCACGCGGGAGACCGGGGTTCGATTCCCCGCTTCGGAGCTTTTTTTTTTTTCTTTTTTTGTATCATCAATATTTTCATTTTATTTTTTGCAGAATCTTCTTCTCCAGATTTTGTATGCTCTGCCCTAATTGTTGCAGATCAAGTAATCATAAATTATTATTCACTTTTATATTTCAATGTTATTCTTAGTTCTTACTACCAAGATTGAAAAGCATCTGCGAGCATTCACTGGCAAAATGCTGTAAGCATACTAATCTCATATTGTTTTTATTCCTTTTAATTTATAGTAAATATCAAGAATGTGGTAGACATTATGGATTTCTCAATTCATTACAATGCCGTCAAACTTCAGCTCTCTTGCCTTCAGTTTATTTGCAATAATTTCCCTGTTTTACTTGAAGGCTCTTACCTAGAATCACTCTCGTTGGCAACACTCGATTTCATCACTGACACATACAGAGAAATGGTTAGTTTGGATCAGCACTGATGCTAACATGATTTTGATATTGATGATATATTTGATTTGACTTTATTTTCTTTAGTTTTCAAATACAAGCAAATATGCTATCAAAATGAAAGGTATTAGTTATTATTATCATTATTATAAATATGATGCTGCTATTAGAACTAACTGAGGAGGAGTTACCAGAGAGTTATTTCTTAAGTAAAACTATTGATATATCTGAGAGTGAGGATGATACTAAAGAGAGGATTATTAATGCCACACCCACTCGTTCCAAGTAATTAATCAATTACAATTATTATTATTATTATCATTTCTAGGTCTCCTACTGCTGATACTCCCACGAGCTCTTCGCGTAAAAGGAAGAAAAGACGATCAAACAGTGTCAGAGATGATAAATGTCAAACTATATCCTCAGAAAGCAGTGGCTATGTCACGTCAGAGAGCAACCACTTGACTCTCAGTAACACAGGACCTGCCAGCCCTCCACTCTCTCCCAATGCAACTCTTAATTTGTCCTTGCTGTCAATTAATAATGAGTCTATTGAAGAGGATGACCCTCTCGTTAATGATACTAATGAGTGTCCCAGTGACCTTGATGTGTTGGTCAGTAATGCTAGTGGGAGCTGGAAGAGAAGTGAAAGGTATAAAGCTTTTATGTATTTTATATTGTAATGCCTGTACATCAAAAAGTATAATTTTTTTAATATAAAAAAAGCCATGCAATTTATCTAAAACCTGCACTTTATTATTACTATTATAAATAATTAGTAACGCGGTAGTGTTACTAAGTAGGATTCACCCCCAAACAAAATGGCTGCCATGACTTTTGCAGCCTTGCTTAATAATTAAGTTTGTATTTATTTTTAATATCATGATAGCTTACCTGACAATTTTTCACTGAGAGAAATAATGGAAGAAGAGACAAGACAAGAAACAGCAAAGAAGATCAAGAGGAGGCCTATTACTAAGCCAATCAATAGGTACTCCTGCTTTAAGTCACTTAATGGCATTATTAGTATTTTTAGTGCCTCGCAAAAAATTCAAAATAATGCAAAGAGAAGTTCAAATGAGTCTTTGGTTAGAAATGAGATACAGAAGAGCACTGTGCCATGGTAAGCTGCTGCTGTGTGTAGTGTATTCTCATTGTCTTGTTGATACATAGAATTATGCATGGTTTTATATAAATTTTAATCTGATTTCAATTAAAAATTGGTTTTTAAAGGAATTTCTAGTACAGTGTCTGTCATCAAAAATAGCTAGAAAGGAATTTCCATTTTTATAATTTTTAAATGTGTATACATGTCCTTATGTTATGTATCGAATTTAAGATGATTCCGATCAAAATTGGATTTATTACGAATTTTTAAAGTTGCTCAAAAATTGGGTAAAATTCCCTGTACTGCTATAGTACAGGTTTTTATTACATTTTCTGATACATTTACAAGTACTTTTATTTTTAAAAACTTTATAGTTAATGCCAATGAAAATAGGACTTTTCCAATCAATTAAGTTCACAATAATTATTGTCACAAACTTTGAGTTGAAATTTGTCTTTCATTTTAATATTATTATTTTAAAAAATTTGCAACTTGAGCAAATGTTAATAATACATGTATTTAAGCATGACAGCTATAGGCGGCAAAGTTAATAATGGCTGGCTCCACAACAGCTGCTTGTGTTATATTGAGTACAAGCTCATGTGAAGGCCAGAGATCATCAGTTAGATGTATGATGATTTTATGTCCAATGGAGGTCCCATTGTATATAGATACTGTTCCATTATACATCGGATTGTAGACTGAGAACTGAGTAATAACTTGTCCATTGGTTTGATCCTCTTGGATTACTATATTGTTGAATCTGAACGGCTGACCAGCTGTTGAACTAAGTCGAATTATTTTACCTTTTCCGCTTGTTTTGATGACGGGTTGAGCATTGAAACACGAATTAATCCACAACCCAAATTCTTTATACCTTTCCATGCTTCCTTCTTCGATCAAACCTTTATCATTAGGAGCTGCATTGAGGAGTAAGTTGGTATTTTGACCTACTGTC